ACACATTATTTAGAATGAAGGATCTTTTACTTTTTTATGCTATAAACTTATTGAGATAACATGGCAGTACACTTCATTATGGCAGAAAAATGTTTTTTCACTGCTCCTTCTAAAATTAAGCTTTTAAGAAATGAAATCCAACGTCGTTTCAGATTACTAAAGAAAAAAGGGTAAAAATAAACGTTTAAAAATTCAATAAAAATGTGAGTAATGACATTGTCAGTCAACAAACTTTTTCTGCAAAAGGTCAGATGGTAAATACTTTAGGCTTTGCAGGCTATACGGTTTTGGTTGCAACTATCTAACTGTTCTTGTAGCCACAGGTAATACATAAATGAATGAGTGTAGCTGTGTTCCAATAAAACTTCATTTATGGACACTGTAATTTAAACTTCAAATAATTTTATGTGCCGCAAATATTATTCTTTTTAATTTTTTTCATCCACTTAAAAAATACAAATCCATTCTTAGCTCACAAGACACCACTACCAAAAAGGGTGGATTTGGCTAATTGGCATTGTTTGCCGACTCCTATAACAGATTAATAATTTCTTGAGAATAGGGACTGTGCCTTATTAATTTTTTAACTCCAGTACCCAGCATGTCATGGAATACATATTAAGGATTAAAATAAAAAGCTTGATGAATGAATGAATGGATGAAAACTAATGTATATTGGGCTTCTATTTAATTCATGATAAAAATAAAATATTAGTATATAACCCTTTATTCTGGTATAGTCCAGTAATCTAAAAGTGCTAAAAATTATTTTTACCTTATAAATATCAGAGTTTGATGTTTTCAAATTTACCATAATGTATTATAAAACATTTCTTTGTAATTATATATACATTTTTTAATGCTTCTTGATCTTTTAGTTTCTTCTAGAATTTACATCTAAAGAGTTTTTACTTCACCTCACTTATATGTTCTTAATTTACTATTACTTTTTAGGAATAATAAGATTCTTTATGTAACAATACCTATTTTGGATGTATATTGTCTTTAACTGATAATAAGACATGAAGAAATAATACTTTGTATAGCAATGAATTCATTCTTATGTTCTATAGAATTTTATAATTACTAGCATTTCATCAATGCCAACAGATTATTTAACCTTTGTCAGATCAGAGAAAATAAAATCTATTCTCTTTTAAAAATTATTTCTTTTAAGTAAACTCTATGCCCAACGTGGGGCTTGAACATGCGACCCCCAGATCAAGAGTCAAAGAAAAGCTCCTCTGAGCCAGCCAGGAACTCTGTAAAAAAATTCTGTTAAAAAAAATGAAGCTTTTTACATAAAAATAAAACTCTAAAAAGTTGAAGGAAGTGGATTATTATGCTATTATATGTAAACCTTGATGGTCTTTCATATTTTGAGGCAAGGAACAGGCCAGCAGGCATGCAAATATCAGATGAGCCATATTCTAAGACTCCAAAACAGAAACAATTTCATAATTTAGGAAAATTGATTCTGATTGCCTAATTTCTATCAAAAAGAAAGAAGGAAACAGGATATACTTTCCTGAATTTGCTATTCCATTGTTCTTTTTGATGGACCTGGGAAGAAACCTAAGTTTATTAAACTTTTCACTTTCTCTAGGGTTCATACCCGCTGACTCTAAGTTTAGACTGCTTTATTCCATTCAATTTATCATTTCCTCCTTTTTTTCTAACAATACACATTCCACAAATAATTATCCTTTCGTGTTTGTAGGTTAGACTAATTATTGTCAATTACTGACTGTAAAATATTAGTATCTTTATGGAGAAGTTTATTATTATTTTACCTTAATAATTAGTATTTGTGTTTTCTGTAACTTGACTATTTAAAAATTTTTGCAACTCTAAGTTATATGCATAGTTAAATGTAGTCTAGAAATACTTTCTCTCTTTTTCGGTACAACTATCTAAGACAAACAGTTAAAGACAAATAACTGTATTATAACATAACCTAAATTATATTTCTGGATTCCTAGCAGACATTCAGTGTTTATTTTGGATATTAGAAGAATGATAAGTATTTAAGTGTGTAGAGAATATAGGAAATCAGTAGAACTATTTTTGGTTGGCCTTATATTGCTTTTACGTTGTTTATTTTTCAAAGGCTTAACAGTCCTATGGACTTTTGCTGTAGATAATCATACCATATGTATTTACATATAAGATACGAAGTAAAGCAAACCAATTAAAAATCAAGATATTTATAATCGGTAAGTCACCTCATTCTCAAAAAAGGAGAAGATATTTAAAAAGATCTATTTATGTATATTTTTAACTCATTTAAAGAAAATACCCAAGTACAACTCTACCCAGGTAAATGCTATAGGCATATTTAAATGTAAGAATTTAAGAGCACCTCTAAGGTTTTAAGGTAACTGAAAGACTTCATTTAAGAATAAAAGGCTTAATTTCTGATATAATGAAACATACAAGGTCAGGGAAAGAGACTCTTATAATTAATGGTACTAAAAAAAGTAGATGTGATAAACAGATATTAGCATGGTAGAAATTTAAGACCTCTGATTTACATGAAGATGAAAAAGATAAAGTATGAAACTCACTACATCAAAATTTAAAAAATAACAAGATTGCAAGGATTTCACGGATATACTTTAAATCTAGTATAAGACTGTTTTTGTCTGTTTGGAAGTTACATACAAAAAAAAAATATTACCAAATGTGTTCACTTAGTATTTATGTAGCAACTAATAAAAACAATTTTTAACCCTTTTTAAGTTAACTCTTGCATATAGCACTTACTAAAATGTCAGAAATAGTTCTCATTGAATCCCACAGCTACCATTATCAACAGGTCCTTTTGTTTACCTCATTTCATAGGAAACTGAGGCAACTGTTTCAGGGGTTCAATCATTAGTCTGTGGTCATCTTGTTAATAAGTAGCAGAGCCAAAATTCAAAGGTTTAAATTTTGATTCTAGCATTTTGGTATTAACTTGACACATTACAGAATGCAAAAATACTTAACTTGGTGTGCTAATTATTCAATTCTAGCATTTTGGTATTAACTTGACACATTACAGAATGCAAAAATACTTAACTTGGTGTGCTAGTTATTCCCCCCAATTAAAAATTATGTTATCTGGCTATAAATGAATTCCATACTAACTTAAATTCTGGTATGAAAATAAATAACATGATAATATTAAACCATCACAGAAAAAATAGGGACATATAAAGCAAGGTCATTTACTTCAAATGCTTAACACAATGACCAAACTCCAAAAATCAATGTCTTCATGTATATAAGCAATTTTCTTACAAACAAAACACAAACACACCTCTACAGGAGATAGTTTCCCTCCAATTGTACTTTTAATGATTAGTCTCACAGTCTAAAAGAATTTAAAAATAAGGCAAAGGACCGTTTCTCCTTAAGATCCAGAAGCTAGGGATCCCTGGGTGGCGCAGCGGTTTGGCGCCTGTCTTTGGCCCAGGGCGCGATCCTGGAGACCCGGGATCGAATCCCACGTCGGGCTCCCGGTGCATGGAGCCTGCTTCTCCCTCTGCCTCTCTCTCTCTGACTATCATAAATAAATAAGAATTAAAAAAAAAAAGATCCAGAAGCTAATTATGATTTTTTTTTAATTTTTATTTATGATAGTCACAGAGAGAGAGAGGGGCAGAGACACAGGCAGAGGGAGAAGCAGGCTCCATGCACCGGGAGCCCAACGTGGGATTCGATCCCGGGTCTCCAGGATCGCGCCCTGGGCCAAAGGCAGGCGCCAAACCGCTGCACCACCCAGGGATCCCCCAGAAGCTAATTATGTAAGAATGACTTCATTTTTAAGCAGTTGAAGTTAACACTTTCCCAATACAACTCTATTCCAATTCTTTTAAAAGCAAACCACTGTATTTATAAATCTAATTACAAGAACATCCAAAAAAATTCTGTCACAATCTTTACATAGAAGACCAGAAAACATTTTACAATATATTAAAAAAACCTCCCATTTTCATATACTAGAACTGTGGTGGTTTTCAAAGTTTCAAAGTATGGACTACAGGCCAGCAAGATCTGCATCACCTGGGGCCTTGTCTGACATACAAATTCTTAGGACCCACTGCAGATTTACTTAATCAGAAACTCTGTGGGTGGGGTCCAACAACCTGTTTTAACAAGTCCTCAGTTTGTGGTGCAGCTAAAGTTTGAAGACTACTATGATAGAGTAAGAAGGACAATAAATATTTAACAAATACAGAGCAGAAATGTTTTATGTTAATTAAACAGTAGATAGAATTATGTATTGGTTTGAAAATAGAAGGACGTATTTAACATTAAGTTGAAATTTAGCCAGCAAACACTTTTTTGGGAGGTAAAGGAAACAATATCACAAGTGGTAAATACAAGTTTACATAGGATTCTGAGGTTTATGGCTTTCTTCAAAAAAAAAAAAAAAAAGACTTTAACCTGTAGCACTGATCAGTGCCTACTCTTCATTCTCTTCCTAATTTTTCTCCTTATGCAAAGGATTAGGTGATTCTTGGTGGCTTAAGCCCAGATATTGATTCTGATGTTTTGGCTTGTTAAATTCCACATTAAAATTCACATTAGAATTATGGACTATGTAACCCTTTCTCTTCAAAAACACTGAGATCAGAAACATTTTTTTTTTCAGAAACATTTTGAATTACATTAACAAAGTACATCAGACCAGATGCCATCTGCTATCACCTCCTTTGGCAATATGCCTGAGGTTCAGCGTCTATCACAGACCACTGAACAAATGCAAAATTACCTTCTGGATCAGTTCAATCTTCCTCATTTTATATATTTGTGTAAGTCCAAAGAAAAGAAGTCAAGAACATTTTTTATATAACAGTTCTTCCACAGCAAAGTTTTTACATTCTTAGAACCACAAGTCTTTTGTCCTGCCTAGCAAAATTGTAAAAATAATATAAAATACAGTAAAAAATATTAAAAATAATATTAATAGTCTACTTCTTGAATAAGAGAAAGGCATATAACTATCTCACCTCTGGAGTGACATCTCGTGGTGCAAACCCTGTTCCTCCAGTTGTTAATATCAAATTAAGTTCCTTCTCATCACACCAATCTATCAGGGTTTCCTGAAAGAAAACAATGATATTGTCACATGCAGAAGAACTTACCTGCCTGCTCAATACATCCACATACCCAAAAACCTCATATACAGTGAGGAAATGAAGATTCATTTCAGCAATAAAAAAGAAAATTTTGAAGTACAATTTATGGAACAGATTTGTTATTGATCAAAACACACTGCAGTTTGGGTTATTTATTTTATGCAGTATAGAAAATGAGGAAGAGAGCATCAAATTCTGAAAAATAAATGAAATGCAGGAAATATCATAAGTTAAGAGCTTATAAAAGAGTCCAATATTGGATATTTACTAAAAACTCAGAGGGAAAAGCAGAGCATTTCAACAAAGATTATAAATTGTCTCTGGCTTTTTTAATTTCTCCATTTTTCTCTGTTTAAGTCTGACCCGATCTGATACAGTCTGAGGTAACTTTTTCTTTCTACATCTCTGTAATGGATATGGTTCAATTAGGGTTTTGTTTTTATAATTACATAATAACCAGACATTTGAAGGTATGAAGAGGATAAGTTACATAGTAGTGCTAATGTCCTTATCCTTCAGAGCAGAGGTTTGACCAACTCTAAGATTTAAAAAGATAGTAAAAAATATGACTGTAACTCATTAATAATTTTCCTTATTTTCAAACTTCAGAGAGATCTTTGTTTAGCACATATAACATGCTCTAACATTCACTTTCTTTTTTTTTATTTAAATGAAATAAAATGCTTCTGTATTAGCTTGAGAGTATCACCTTGGTTTTGTATAGCTATTTCTTTCACTCAGTTAAGCATCCATCCATTCTTTTATCTATAACATACGCATAGAAGGATGAAATGTTTTATAACTTATAATGGTTATTTTTGGATTATTATGTTTGTAGTACACTTTAATTCCTTTTTGTTTTCTTTCACATTTTTCAAATTCTTTAAAATCTGCATGTATTTAAAAATAAAGGGATTTTACAAGTTGAGTTTTCTGGTATTTGTTCTTTGTTTTGATAATCTTAATGTCTCATTTTCAGCCAGCTCAGAAACAAATTTTATACTGAATAACTATGCATATTCTACTGTAGCAGGTTAAATATAGCCACATATTCTTTATAAATCCTCCTGTCAAAAGGTGGAGTTTATTTTCGCCAACCATGCATCTGGGCCAGACTTGTGACTCTGACGAAGGCAGAAATCATGGTGTATGAGTTCTGAAGCCCAGGTCTCAAAAGGCCTCACATCTTCTACCTTCACCCTTTTGGTAAACTTCTATTACTATGAAAAGTAGTCCAGTCTAAATAACAGAATGAAGAGAGAACATGTGGGGAGAAAGCTTAGCAGAACAGATAGCACCAAGGTCCCAGACATCTGAATGCCATTTTAGATTTTCCAGCCTCACTGAGTTGACAAATTATTTCAGCCACAGTAATGACACCATATAAAACCAAAAGAAAATACACCCAGCTAAGCCCAGCAAACCCACAGATTTGTGAAAAATAATAAATCATTGTTTTTTTAAAGATTTTATTTATTCACAAAGAGACACACAGAGTGAGACAGGGACACAGGCAGAGAGAGAAGCAGGCTCCTCACAGGGAGCCCCATGTGGGACTTGATACTCAGACCCCAGGATTATGACCTGAGCCAAAAGCAGATGTTCAACCACTGAGCCACCCAGGCACCCCAAAATCATTGTTTTAAGACACTAAGTCTAAGGTGGTTTTAATGCAACAATACAGTACAAATACAACTACTTTGCTAGTTAGCATCTTTGCATCCTCCTCTTTTTCAGGCTATTTTCAATTTATATTTTATTGTATTTTATTAGTCATAAGTCTACACATCCTTCACAATAATCTTCAAAATAGTTTCAAAAGTAAACTTGGTGTGAATTGGGTTTAATCAAATTTAAATTTTAGTAATTCAGTTTAAGGAACATATCAATGCCTAAAACAGTGCAGAGCTTCCTCAAAAAGTTGAAAAAAAAGCTATCCTATGACCCAGAAATTGCACGACTAGATATTTACCCCAAAGATACAACTGTAGTGATCTGAAGGGGCACCAGCATCCCAGTGTTTATAGCAGCAATGTCCACTGCAACAACATCCATATACAACTGCTGATATATGAAAAAAGCCCAGATGGAATAAAAATGGAGTATTACTCAGTCATCAAAAGGAATGAAATCTTGCCATTTGCAACAACTTAGATGGAACTAGAGGGTACCATGTTAAGTGAAATAAGTCAGAAAAAGACAATGATTCCACTCATGTGTGAAATTTAAGAAACAAAACATAGGGGAAGGAAGGAAAGATAAAACAAGATGAAATCAAAGGAGACAAACCATAGGAGACTCTGAATTATAGGAAACAAGCTGAGTGTTGCTGGAGGAGAGTTGGGGGGATAGGTAACTGGATGATGGACATTAAGAAGGTCACATGATATAATGAGCACTGAGTAATATATAAGAATGATGGATCCATGAACTCTACCTCTGAAACTAATAATACCATAATTATACACAATATATAATACACAATGTTAATTATTATGTAATATATAATACACAATGTTAATTAATTGAATTTAGATTAAAAAAATAAAAAGAAACATACCAATCAATGCCTAGTGTGTGCCAGGAAAATGCAGGTATGAAAAAAAATGCATGACGAATGCCCTTAATGTCAATGAGCTCAGAAGTATGAACAAATTAATATGGTACCTTAATATCATTAATGTTATGAAAGAGGCATGACCACCTTCAGAAAACTGTTTTACATATATATTATTTATGAATATATGACATTTTTTACACTGACCAGAATGAAAACTATCACTAAAGAGATTTTTAGCAATATTTTTCTCTGGCCCAAGACTAAAGATCCAAATAAAGGAAAAATGGGACAGTAATAGAACTAAAAGGAAATAAGTTTAGATAACCCATCATTCTATATATCTATTTAGCTTCATACTCATCTATTACAATAGATTTTTTTCTTTTTTCTACATTTATTGATGTAAACATGAATCACTGAATTAAGCAGACTCCACCAATATATAATCATTGAGAAATGTCACATTTTTCTTTGGTTTATTAAATAGTCTGATATAACAACCTAACAAATTCCTATATCTACTTAATGAGACACAGCATTAGGATATCTTGGTAAAGTCTTCTCTGACTCTTCCAGGCGATTTGTTTGTTCCCTGTGTGTATTACTCATCATTCCTGAAAAGACAGCGTTTTTCATATTTTACTGAAATTTACTTGTTTATATGTCTCTTTATCTATAAGAGTGATCTCCAAATTTCTGATTACACATCCGTATCAGTAAAACAATTTCTGAATGTTATCAGACATTTCTATCAGTAAAGCAGATTCTGAATGTTATGCTAAAAAACATACAGCATGTTACACAAAAAGAAATTTTAAAAGATGAGATAAAGACAATATAATACTTAAAATAGCTTTTATTTTGTTTTAGTAATTGGGAAAAAGTATTTTTTCCTCAATATTTTATATACACAATATGACTGAGTATGCATCTTAGAAAACCTTAGTTTGATATTTTGTGATACAATAATTACAAAGTAACGATGGTTTAAAAAAACAGACTGAAATGAAAGAAGTACTTAGGCACACTTAAAAAATCCCACAACATTCATTTTTCAATCTCATCCATGAAATATGCAAATGACTTTTTGAAATGAGGTTAGTAAACTTCTATCTTTCATGATACTAATTAGTTGTTCTTATAAAATAATCAGTGGTGGGGTAGGAAGATGGACAAAATGGGTGAAGGGGAGTGGGGGAATATAGGTTTTTAGTTATGAAATGCATAAGTCATGGGGATAAAAGGTACAGCATAGGGAATATGGTCAACAGTATTATAAAGGCATTGTATGCTGACAGATGATGGCTACACTTGTGAGCATAGCAGAAGGTAGAGTTGTTGAATCACTATGTTGTACACCTGAAACTAATGTAACATTGTGTCAATTACACTTTAATGAAAAATATAAAAATAATTGGAAGATGCTATTTCAAAAATATTTTTAACAAATGAATTCAAAATCCAGTAACACTCTTCAAAGGGAACATTTTTAAATGGATAAGTATCTTGTTTCCTAGTTTTGGGTTTTTTTAAAAAGCTTTTATCATTTCTTCATGAGAGACACAGAGAGAGAGGCAAAGGCATAGGCAGAGGGAGAAGCATGGGGAGCCCCATGTGGGACTCAACCCTAGGACCCTAGGATCACGCCCCAAGCGGAAGGCAGACACTCAACCACTGAGCCACTCAGGCGTTCCTCGTTTCCTAGTTTTTTAAGTGTGTGGTTATTAGTTTTTATAAATGACACAAATAATTTCCACTAACAAAATAACATAATGCAAACAATTTTAAATATCTAAGTATCTTAACTTAAGCATGTTTTGATATTTTACAAAAGTTTTCCCAGATCTTCTTTCATGTCTTTCCCCCCAAAGTTGTCTACTGAATTAACTTCTCATTTATTTTTCCAGGCAGATTCTCCCATTCCTTATTCATTACCTCATCTTTATTCGTGCTATCTGAACTAGAAATCTCCCTCTCTGGTCCTTTTTGGCTTTGACAATGTACTCCAAATCACTTTAAAATTAGCATTCTAAAAATTCTAAAGCCTTCCCAAAAAACCTAGTTTTCTTCACTGGAGAAAGTATCAATACGTTTCCTAAATATTTGTTAATGTAGCTGAAGCTTTCACCAAGTCCTTCAAAAAACAAACTACAGTTATCATCTGCTAAAGCATACAGCAAGTGATTACTTAAATGAGAAGTATAGGGTTCCTAGGATATTTGGGGGTTGTAGAGACACAAGGTAAGCAAGTGTCTTTATCCAAGGAGTATCCATACATTGTTTTTCATACATTCATATTTCCATTTGCATGTATATAAACATTATATGCATTTATAATATATATTCTTAAAATATATGCGTTTATATAATTTTTAGGATACTTCCTGCCCAGGGAGGATCCCCA